CCATAAAGGTCAATGGAGTTACACCACTCTTAAAATCTTGAAAAGATCCACCCATCACTCACCTGTATTCCTGGCTGACCAGCTACCTAATAGCATATTACCATGGTAGTATCTAAACACCTCTGTTAGAAGGAGCTATCAACATGTCTATGTAACATACTAGCCTGTGGTCTGTGAATTCTTGTCTCTCTCTAGCTTCTGGTCAGGGCCGGCTCCAGGCACCAGTGTTTCCAAGTTTTTTTCACTGTTTGGGGCAGCAAAAACTGGAGAGCCAGCCCTGCTTCTGGTCCCAGTAGTTGCACAACCCCCATGAGCTAAAAACACCCTGCAGTAGCTGTCAAGTGGGAGATGCCTGAGTTTTTGGTGCTGGAAGCTCTGAGTTCAATCACTGCTGATGTTATTACTATTTAGATTAGAGCAGGGGTGGCCAAACTTACTGACCCTCTGAGCTGCAGACTATAATCTTCAAATGTTTGAGAGCTGGGCACACCTGCCAGGGCTTGGAGCATCTGCCCTGTGGCAGGGTGGTGGGGCTAGGGGCTGAAGCCCCTAGCTCCACCACCATGCCGAAGGGCAGAACCCATGAGCTGTCTGGTAGGTGGAAAATGGTGTGGGGGGGGGGGCATGGGATGCTCCATGAGCCACACTTTAACAGTAAAAGAGCCGCATGTGGTTTGGCCACCCCTGGATTAGAGTATTGCCTAGAGGCCCCTGCTGAGATCGGAGCCCCACCATGCTAAATGCTGCACGCACAGAATGAGAGACAGTCCTTGCTCCAATTACTCACAATGGAAACAGACAAGGTAGACAAAGGAAGGATTCTTATTTTACAGATGGGTACCTGAGACACAGAGACCAAGTGACTTGCCCAAGGTCCCTGGGAGTCGGTGGCAGAACTGGGAACTGAACCCAGCTCTCACAAGTACCAGTCCTGCGCCTCAACCCTTCCTGTGGTATCAGCGTGCAGAGGGGACTGCAACTGGTTACATCTGCAGCTTCTCCCAGCACGTGGCCTGCTCCCCCTCGCTTGCCTCTTGAGCGACAGGGGCCTGCATTCCCCCAGCGGCCCCCTTCCCACCACATCCTGCCCTCTCCTTTGCTGTTACAGCCTGGCTTTCCCCTGTTCCCATCCCATAATCCAGGCTGGAGCTCAGTGTCCCTCCCTTGCTCCGTGTCCAGTGACAGGAAGATTTTGGGGCTGAATTTGCCAGTTTGTGAGACCTGAATGTTTTGGGGTTTGATGGTTTTGACCGACTGGAAGTTTTTGGCGGGGTTCCGCTAGCCAGCCCAGCGGACGCTGAGCACCCAGCAGGGTGAGCGACCCATATAGGCAGCTCTGCGGTGAGGCTACAGTGCTGGGAGGCCCTTCACACAGTCAGCCTGGTCCTGCTGCTCCTGCCACAGCAAGGGCGTGATTCCAGTTCAGCTCCTGCAAAGAACCCTGAACATGGAGCTTCCAGCGCCCCCCCAGAACTCATTGCGGGTGAAAGTCTGTTAGGTGTGTCATGCAGCAGGTTCAGCCTAGACGAGCTTAATGGGCCCTTCTAGCTGTAAACTCCATGGATCTATTACTGTGCAAGTTAAGCCACCCACCTACCCGGCGCACGGGGCTGGATGCAGGTGGAGAACCCATTGCACAGGCAATGGGAACCCACCAGCTGCATGGGGGGTAATGCAGGGCCGGACTGGCAGACGTGCGGAGCAGCCCCAGCTCCAGCTGGTTTAAGTGGGAGTCGTGAGTGTGCAGCGCCTCCGACTCTCAGGTTTGCATGTCCCAGGCTGGGCACCCAAAACCTGAGCGCCCCAAAACTGACGGGCACTTGTGGAAGTTGAAGCCAAAATGTGTTTCTGCATCAGAGATTTCCATTCATGTCTCCCGTGAATACACTTCTTACAGTGGGTCACACAGGGTTTGTCGCTGCAGTAGGGTGGCTCATTGCAGGCTCCCTGCATCCCTCCATTTGCCCCACAAGCTCCCTGCCTGCCCCATATCCCCCAGTTTCAGGAACTCCCTGCACTTTCCTCCAATCTCCCCTCTGCCTGGAGTTCTGTGGGCCCCCTCGCTGCTTCTTCTAGGGTCCCCCTTTCTCCCCCCCTCCAGGGGCTCTGTCCCCCTTTCCCTGTACCAGGTCCCCCCAGTGTCCCCTACTGTACTAATTTCAGTGGAAGAGATTAATATAACCCTGTCACTCACTGCCCAACATGACACACTTTGTTCAGCAAGGTTCGGGGTTTGGTACACAGAGACCTCCACCTGCTTAGCACCAGGGCAAACACCCCATTGAAAAGCCTTTTCACCAGCCAACAAGATAATGCAGGGCCTTTGCATGAATGAAACTCATACCAGCATCAGGCTTTTTAGGTTTAGGGCACTATTTTTATCCGTCTCTCTGGTCACAGACTCACCTCAGTGTTTCAAAATATACATTACTGAGCAGCTAAGCCAGACTCATATTAGACAGGAGTTAAAAAGGAGCGGGCCAGGAAAGAGAAGAAATAAGTTGGGGAAGGAAAAGAGCACTCAAGGAGGCATAGGTGGGTGACAAAGTCTCACATCCCAGATGGTGGCGGGGATGGAGCTGGAGCTGCTGGTGTCATCTGGGTCCCCCTCTCTGCCCGGTCTGGTCAGGACATCTCTCAGCAGCAGGATGACAAAGGCCCATTTACGATGATACAGTAAATCCCGGAGCCCTAGAGGACAGCAGGGATGGCAGCCATGATGGTGACGCTCACTCCTTCTTTCAGCCAGTCGTTGTCCCTTCACTTCGCCTCCATTAATGTTCCCCACAGAGTCTTTTCTTGTGAAGAACCTCACAGGGCAGTGATGGGTGGAATAGCCCATCTCCTCATTAGTTTGTCCACCAATCAGACCTACTTTCCGACACACCAATTTTGGTTCCCTGATTTCCAGTCTCTTGTTTACCAGGCATGATCTTAACACAGCCTTTGAGTTACGGCAGGAGGCCTTTTCGTTTGGGCTAATTCAGCCCTGTCCTTTCTGCACCTTTTCCCGTCAACATTGTTTGTTCTAGGGGATTGAAACATTCCATAAAATGTTCTCCACTTTCCCACGGTTGAACTCACAATTAGGGGAAATTTGCAGGCCCAATAATTACAGCCTCCCTCTTTCCAGGGGTTCAGTGTATTCCCCTCTCCTCCATAGCAGCATCCCCCATTCACTCCCTGTGCCAGGAGCTCTGTCTCCCTTTGTGCCCCCTTCCCCACTGCCTCAGAACCATGGTCCTTCAACCTCCTCTGCCACCAGGGCATCTGTGTGCCCCTTTCCCACCTCCCCCACCTCCATGCCAGGGGCCATCTGCATTTTCCCCTTCCCCTATGCCCTGCTAGTCCTCTTCCACACACTATTCTTCTTTCTATCCGTGAGTTAAGTCTGTCAAGGTACAAACCTGTTAAACTCTATTAGGGGGTTCCAGAGTAGCAGCCGTGTTAGTCTGTATTTGCAAAAAGAAAAGGACGACTTGTGGCACCTTAGAGACTAACAAATTTATTTGAGCATAAGCTTTCGTGAGATACAGCTCACTTCACCCGATGAGCAGAGATAAGCAGGTTTTGTTATGCTGACAGGTGTTAATGGGGCCATCAACCAGTTGTTTGATCTCTAGGTGCTGTGGCCCTGCTAAAGAGCTGGCAGGGGCTTCATGTGTTCCTCACTTTCCCCTTTTTGGTTTTCTGATTTCTTCCCAAAATCAATAGGGTCCTGGCTTCTGATGCCTAGAACAGTGCCTGCGATTTTGGAAATGACAGGATGCAGTGTTCCAAAGTTATCTTGTCGTGTGCCTTACAGACAGACAGACAGATGGAGAAATGGTGTTGAGATGAGCCTTCACAAGCTCAGCCAACAAGATAATGCAGGGCCTTTGCATTACTGAAGCAGGTGGGATAGTTCATAATTAAATGCAACATTAAGGGCCCGGCTGTGCCCAGGGCTCCAGGCTGGCCTTGGGGCAGGAGGAGCAGGAGTCACACCTCTTTAAGGGGATGGGGGAGAGGTTGGGGCACAGTCTCTCCCAAAGCTCCAGGGACCATGCCCATTGCTCCATGCAGCGGTGGTATGCCACAGGGCCCTGTCCAAGGCTATGTTGCAGGGACAAATGCAGAGACGGTTTATGATTGCCACCTACGCGCCCTCTCCCCCCTCTCCTTCTGCAAGCCTCTGCATGAGGGGCTTACACACACTTGTGAATAGCTCTGTGTGGCCAGAGCTCAGTCTCTCTCCCCAACAGAAGTTGGCCCAGTAAAGATATTGCCTCCCCCACCTTATCTCTCTAATGCAATAAGCCAGTAATTCCCAGCTCGCCCCTCGCTCTGAGTTCTCCGTAACCTGGGCACCCCCTGCATGCGCAGCCAGGTGTGACTCTCTGACCCTGCTCCCCTCCACAGCTCTCAGACTCCTCGCCCCCATCGCTCTGCAGCCGGCAAGACCCGTTTCCTAGACCAGTGGCTCCCAACCTTTCCAGACGACTGAACCCCTTTCGGAGTCTCATTTGTCTTGCGTACCCCCAAGTTCCACCTCACTTAAAAACCACTTGCTTACAAAATCAGACCTAAAAATACGAGTGTCACAGCCCCACTCTTACTGAAACATTGCTGGCTTTCTCATCCTTACCATATAATTACAAAATAAATCCCTTGCAGTATAAATACTGTACTTACATGTCAGTGTCTAGCACACAGAGCAGTATAAACAAGCCATTGTCTGTATGAAATTTTAGTTTGGACTGACTTCGCTGGCGCTTTTCATGTAACCTGCTGTAAAACTAGGTAAATCTCTAGAGGAGCTGATGTCCCCCCGGTCGATCTCTGCGTCCCCCTGGCTGAGAACCACTGTCCTGTGGGCCAAGCCCTCTGCCCTGGCTGCAGGCACGGTTCTATAAAGGGCCTTTTCCGGTCCCTGAAACAGCCCAGCTCTGGCCCGGGGACTTCTGGGTGTGAGCTCCCTCGACTTCCCGTCTCCGGTTACGGTGGCGGGGCTGGGGCAGGGCTCCGGCAGCGAGCCCACGCCAGGGCCCCAGGCTGCAGGGGGAGTTTTCCGGCTCTTGCAGCGGCGAGGAGCGGCTCGGCATGCAGGGAGGAGACGCCGAAGAGGCGAGGCCAGCCGGGGCCGCTCTGCAGGTAGGAGCCAGGCAGTCAAATGCGCGGCAGCGGGGAGGCACCAGGCCGGATTCCGGGCCGGTGGGAACGGCTGCTCCTTCGGCTGTCGGTGGCCCTGCAGCGAGCAGGTCTGGCTGTGGCCCATCGAGCCCTGCCCCCGCTTATCAAGGGGCAGATCCCGTTTTCCCCAGGCTGATCTCCTGGCAAGGCGCTGTCTGTGGCGGAGCATCCTGCTGGAAAGTGGCAGTGGACCCCTCTGGGAGGGGCAGCCGGGACCTGACAGGCCCCCACCAGCCGCTTTCCACGGGGCTAGCGTGCTAAGGAGAAGGACTGAAGTGCTGAATGCTCACCCCGCAAAGCGCCTGGCTCTGATGGTGTTGGAGGAGGCGTGGGGGGGGGGGGTTAAATAAATGTTGCTTTGTTTGTTTCATCCAAATCTGGGCTCCTGCTGAACAGCAAAACTCTCCATTGACAACAGTGGGAGTAAAACGGGGCCTTTCGCTTGCACATAACAAGTTACCTTCCAACTTTCCAACATCTGATGAAGTGAGCTGTAGCTCACGAAAGCTCATGCTCAAATAAATTGGTTAGTCTCTAAGGTGCCACAAGTACTCCTTTTCTTTTTGCGAATACAGACTAACATGGCTGTTCCTCTGAAACCTTCCAACTTTTTGTTTGTTTGGGTGTCAGGACCCGAGGCGGCTGCTCCCCACTCGGACATCAGGAGAGGGGGAGACTGTCACCAGAATGGCCCCACACCACTAGGGTGACCAGATGTCCCGTTTTTATAGGGATAGTCCCATTTTTGGGGACTTTTTCTTATATAGGCGCCTATTACCCCTGCCCCGTTTTTTCACAGTTGCCATCTGGTCACCCTACACACCACCCTCTAGCGGGCGTTTGAGCTCCTCAGTTTCATGGGGCGGTTCTCAGGCTGCATCACACTGCCGCAAAGGTTAGGTATCAATTCAAACCAGTAACGTCTAACCAACTAATGTCATGAAACCATTTCAGTTAACACCAGCTTGTGCAGCCCCTTTTCCTTCGAGAAATCTCAACACTGGCCTTAATCTACCCAGTGCTCTCCCTTCTACCCTGCTCTCTGTTACAAATACTGGAACATTTCCCTTTACCTGTCTTGGTGCAGGGACTGTCTCTGGGTCTGGATAGTGCCTTGCGTAACAGGGCTCCTGTCCCACTTGGAAAAAGCGGAGCAGTGAGCATATTGTAAAATCAATATAGTTCAAAGCCCACGCCTAATAAAGAAACGTGACAAGCCTGCCACAATGCAAAACGTCATAGTGGTTATTTATTACATCTAGCAGAGTAACCTGCATTACACAACGCAAAACAAATTCAAGATTGCTCTGAAGGAAGCTCTCAAAATAACAACCTACTGTAGTGTAGTGGTTAGAGCAGTGGACTGGGAGCCAGGACACCTACCTGCTGTTTCCGCTCTGGTACTGACTTAGTGTATTACTTTGATCAAATAATTTAGTCAAAAATGATATAAAGTGGCCACTGATTGTGGGTGCAGGTGTCAGGAGGTAGCTGCAGAGAAGGTGCTGAGTAACTCTTGAAATTCCAGGTCCTGGTGACATTTGAGGACATTGCCATCTATTTCACCCGGGAGGAGTGGGAGATGCTGGCAGAGTGGCAGAAGGAGCTGTATCGGGACGTGATGAAGGAACATTATGACAATCTGATTTCCCTGGGTAAAAGTCCATTTTCTTCTTATACTCTCTGAGCTTTGCAAAATTCATCCATGTGTTTTAAGGGTGGAGCTCACCTCCAGTCATGCATTTCCTAAATCGCTGGGCCTGTTAGAGTAAACCCCTAAGGAGGGTTTAAAAAAAACTGAACAGCTTTGTTCCTGTTTTCTATTTCCAGCTGTCATGTGTCCACACAAAAAGCAACCGTATTGTTTTAATCCAAAATGATGTGTATTTTAGATTAAAGGAAAATAGCAACAAGAAAGAACAAAAGGAAAGTCTCCATGAAAGAGCAAAGTGTGAGCATATAGTCTCTTCTATAAACTGCTGCAGCAACTCTGATAGCAAAATGGCTGCCTCCCCTGCAGAGAGGCAGAAGTCTTAGAAACTGAAAGGTGCCATACAAAGGAAAACAAAGCTGTAATGGTTTCAAGCTACATACACCAAGCCAGCTGCAGCCACAGCTTCTTGCAAGCCTGTCATTCAGAGGACTGGCCTCAAACGTGCAATGAGGGCCTGGACTGTAAACAGAAAGTTTTTGATTTTTTTTTTTTTAAAGTGATTTAAGGGCAGGGGAGGGACGTAATTGGGATCTTACTGTGAAGGGTGCATCCATTTCTAAGGAGCAGCTGGATGGTGGAAGGGGGAATACTTTGATATCTGTGCTTTAAATCCATTCATAATAAATGGTGCCTGGAGCAAAGGGAGGGAACTGGTGTCAAACCATTCACACGGCTTTGTAACAAGCATTCCATGGTGGCAATCCAAACCATAACATCCTCTGATCTATGTCCCCACAAATAGGCCATGCAGGCACCACGCCTGATGTGTTATCGCGGATCGAACGAGGGGAAGAGCCGTGGGTCATGGATCAGCAGGAGGAAAGAGAGAGGCTGGAATGCACCTTGCATGGTGAGCAGTTATAACCTAAACTGTGTCAGACCTGCTCTGACTATAGACCCCAGAGCTGGGGACAAGTGCCCCTGTCACAGGCTGCTGCCCCAGTCTCTCCCGCATTGTTTTTATAAGCAGGGCTGTTCTGGCAAGTGTCAAACCCACAAACATGCATGCCCAGCTCACCCCCTCCACCAGCTGGCTCTTGGGCCCAGGATCAAGCTGGGGAGCTGGCAGCAGGCAGTACACCCCCAGGATTAATAGGGGGTTTTGGCAGAAATCTTGCTCCGGGTCAGAATCCCAACCAATCCTGCTTCCCAGTGCAGTGTCAGACCTTCCCTCCCTCCCCACCCCACCCCCGACTCCACACACAGGCCTCCCTGATCACTGGCATTATCACCTCCTGCATGCCTTTCAGAGGCCCTAAAATGGCAGCCTTTTATGTTCTGTCCCAAGGATTAAACCAAGTCACTGCTGGTGCAACTCCACTGAATTTCACCAATTGTCTTGACTCCCAGGCTATCCAGAACCCTCCAGCCTTTCCCATACCTCTCTCAAAGCATTACCCTGGGGCCAGGCTCCAGCCAAAGCAGTAAGTGCCTGAGGATCATAGCAATGTAGGGCTGGAAGGGACCTTGGGGGGTTATCTAGTCCATCTCCCTGTGCTAAGGCGGGACCAAGTAAACCTAGACCATCCCTGATAGGTGTTTGTCCAACCTGTTTGAGAGCGATTCCACAGCCTCCCTGAGTAAGGTGTTCTTGTGCTTAACTGTCCTAAGAATTAGAAACATTTCCCTCACAGTCAACCTAAATCTCCCTTGCTGCAAACTAAGCTAATAATTTCTTGTCCTACCCTCTGGGTATATGGAGAACAATTGGTCCCCATCCTCCTTCTGACAACTCTTAACATATTTGAAGACTGTTATTAGTTTCCCTCACCTCCCTGCCTCCCAGACTTCTCTTCTCTAGATTAAACATGCCCAGTTCTTTCAACCTTTCCTCAGAGGGCAGGTTTTCTAAATCTTTGATCATTTTTGTTGCTCTGCTCTGGACTCTCTCCAATTTGTCCTTAAGTGTGGCACCCAGAACTGGACACAGTGCTCCAGCTGAGACCTCAAGCGTCCTGAGTAGAGTGGAACAATGACCTCCCATGTCTTACATACGACACTCTTGTTAATACACCCCATAATGATATTAGCCTTTTTTGCAACTGTGTCATATTGTTGAATCCTATTCAATTTGGATCCACTATAACTGCAAGACCCTGTTCTGCAGTAGAGCTACTTAGCCAATTATTTGCCATTTTGTATTTGTGAATTTGCTTTTTCCTTCCTCAGTGTAGTCCTTTGCACTTTTCTTCACTGAATGCCATCTCACTGCTTTCAGACCAGTTCTTCAATTTATCAAGATCATTTTGAATTCTAATCCTGTCCCCCAAAGTGCTTACAACCCCTCCCAGCTGGATTTCATCTCTAAATTTTAGAAGCATATTCACTACTCCATTATCCAAGTCATTTAATACAATTATTGAATAGTACAGACCCAGAACAGCCCCTTTTGGATCCTCCCACTTATGATAGAGGTCTATACAATCATGAGTGGTGTGGAGAAAGGGAATAAGGAAAAGTTATTTATTTGTTCCCATAATATAAGAACTGGGGGCCAGCAAATGAAATTAATGGGCAGCAGGTTTAAAACAAATAAAAGGAAGTTCTTCAGTCAACGCACAGTCAACCTGTGGAACTCCTTGCCTGAGGAGGTTGTGTAGGCTAGGACTATAACAGGGTTTAAAAGAGAACTGGATAAATTCATGGAGGTTAAGTCCATTAATGGCTATTAGCCAGGATGGGTAAGGAACGGTGTCCCTAGCCTCTGATTGTCAGAGGGTGGAGATGGATGGCAGGAGACAGATCACTAGATCATTACCTGTTAGGTTCGCTCCCTCTGGGGCACCTGGCATTGGCCACTGTCGGTAGACAGGATACTGGGCTGGATGGACTTTGGTCTGACCCAGTGTGGCCGTTCTTACATTCTTATGACAGCGAATCATTGATAACTACTCTTTGAGTTCAGTTTAGCAACCAGTTGTGCACCCATCTTATGGTAATTTCATCTGTACAACGTTTCCCTAGTTTGCGTATGAGAGTGTCATGTGGGACTGTGTCAGAAGCCTCACTAATGTCAAGGCATATCACATCTACCGCTTCCCCCCTATCCACTAGCCCAACTACCCTGCCAAAGAAGGAAATTAGATTGGTTTGACATGATTTGTTCTTGACAAATCCATATTGGCTGTTACTTACATTATTATCCTCTAGGTTTGAACAAATTGATTGTTTAATAATTTGTTCTGCTACCTTTCTGGATATCGAAGTTAGGCTGACTGGTCCATAGTTCCCCAGGCCTCCTTTGCCCACTTTTTAAAAATAGGTACTATGTTCACCTTTCTCCAGTCCTCTGCGTCCTCACCCGTCCTCCATGAGTTCTCAAAGATAATCCCTAATGTTTCAGAGAGTGCTTCAACTGGTTCCTTAAGTACCATAGTGCAGTGGTCCCCAAACTTTTCAGGGTCGCAGCCCCCTTTGCCCCTGTCCACCCCCTTGGAGCCAGGGCCGGGAGCGGGGCCGTGGCTCCTAGGATAGGGTATGTGGACAGGGTAAGGGGGCTGAGATTGGGGCCACAGCTGAGCGTGGTTCCGGGACCCGGAACAGGGCCTGGGCCGGGTGCAGAGCCACGGCCAGGCGCGGGGCTGCGGCTGGAGGCGGGGCTCAAGCAGAGCTGGAAGCAGCGCGGGGCTGGGTGGTGCTCCCTCCCTGCCCACCCTGGGAGTTGGCCTGGGCCCCGCCGCTCCCCTGAATTTTCCTTCATGTCACAGTTTGGGCACCTCTGCCCAAGGGTGAACTTCATCAGGCCCTGCTGACTTAAATGCATCTAACATCCAAATATTCTTTAACCTCTTCTCTCCCTATTTTAGCCCAAGATCTTTCCCCTTTATCATAAACATTAATTGTGTTAAGCACCTGCTCACAATTGACCCTTGTAGGAATGTCCCATTTTTAGGGGTGTCCCCTGTCATTGAGGATGAGATGATTCTGCCATAGAAACCCCTCCCCGACTGCCTAGGAGCAGTGGTGTTGTCAGCAAAACATGAAGTAATGTCTGGATTCTCCTCTCCAGAGGGTGCAGGCCTGAGCAGAACTGAGCAGCAGCAGCAGCAGGAGGAAGGTCCTGGGAACTTGGAGCCACAGGGGACTTTACCAAGTAGGTCGGAAGAGAGAGTTTTCCAGAGCCCCGAGCGGGAAGAAACTTGCCAGAGGCAGCGCAGGTCGCTGAGGCTGCAGCTGATCTTGGCGGGGAATGAGCCAGCTACCCCAAGGGACTGCGAAAGGGGTGGCCAGGAACCTCCGAGGCTCCCTGCGCAGGGAAGACCAAAGACGAGCCAGAGCCCAGCTACGTGTCACATGTGTGGACTTGGCTTCGAGGGAGAGAGAGCCCTTAGCAGACACAAACGCAGCATCCACAAGATAAAGGATCCACACCAGTGCCAAGTGTGTGGGAAGTGCTTCCGGCTACGGCAGGACCTCAGGAGGCACCAGAGGACCCACACGGGGGAGAAGCCCTACCTTTGCACTCACTGTGGGAAGAGGTTCAGCCAGACCGCCAATCTCTGCACCCACAAGAAGATGCACAGGGGGGAGCGGCCGTACCCCTGCGCCATCTGTGGCAAGAGCTTCCGGCAGAAGCAGCAGCTGGTGTCACACAGCCGGATCCACACGGGGGAGCGGCCCTACCCCTGCACGCAGTGTGCCAAGAGCTTCCGCTGGAAGCAGGCGCTCAGGGTCCACCAGAAAACCCACGTGGGAGAAGGTGGCTCTGAGGGGAGCCAGGCCAAAGGGCGGGCCTTCACCTGCCCCAAGTGCAAGGCCGTCTTCGCTCACAGGCACGACTTCCTAACGCACCGACAAGCACACGCCAGCGAGCGGACCTACCAGTGTGCCGACTGCGGGAGGTGTTTCAGACAGCGGCAGCAGCTGATTCCGCACCGCCGGATCCACACCGGGGAGCGGCCCTACAACTGCCCGCTCTGCGGGAAGAGCTTCCGGCGCAGGCAGGAGCTGACCACGCACCAGAGAATCCACACGGATGAGAGGCCCTTCCGCTGCCCCGAGTGCCCGCTCAGCTTCAGGGAGAAGCAGAAGCTGAGGAGACACCAGAGAATCCACACGGGCGAGAGGCCCTATGCCTGCTCGGAGTGCGAGAAACGCTTCCGGCAGAAGCAGCAGATGGTGTCCCACCTCCGGATCCACACGGACGAGCGGCCCTATGCCTGCTCAGAGTGCGGGAAACACTTCCGGCGAAAAGACTCCCTCGCCAAACACCAGAGAACCCACCAAAGGGCGCAGACATAGGGCTTGTCTACACTACCACTTAAGTCAATGTAACTGAGTTGCTCGGGGATGTGAAAAAGCCCCCCCCCCCCACACACACACACACACAAGCGACACAAGTTACATGGACTTAGCACAGTGTGGACAGCGCTTTATGTCGGCGGGAGACACTCTCCCACTGACATAGTTTCCTCCTCTCGTTGAGGTGGAGTGATTACGCCGACGGCCGAGCACTCTCCTATGGCACAGTGCATCTTCGCCAGACGCACTACCGCGGCGCATGGTAGTGTAGACTAGACCATAGTCAATGCAGTCGTCCTGCCCCAAACTCCCTCCTCACTTCCCCCGTGGAGGGGAAACTGCTTCCACAGGGACTCGGAGAAACCACCCCCGGAGCCATCACCCCTTCATAGCTCCTGGCAGAGAATGGAGGGGAAGAAACACGACAGACACACTCCACCCCGGAGAAGGTGAAGGAGCTTCACCTCCATTCCCTCAAAAGGTCCAGGCAGCCACAGTCTCACAGCACTTATTGTTTCTTTGATGTATTTGAATCATTATAGAGGGCCTTGTCCTTCCTGTGAACCCCCATAAAGCCCTTCTGTTCTCTCCTCTGTGTAGTTATCCTAGGACAGGCAGGATTTCCGACCTCTCTATATTTCACCGGCCCCGTAAAGGACAGGACGGTTGGGTGTCTGTGAGGTGCCCTGTGTGGTGGGAGAGGCATATGCAGGTGAAAACCATGACATGGTGCAGTAGTTTAATGGATTCATGGTGCTGAAGGCCAGAAGGGACCATTGGATCACCTAGTCTCACCATCTGTCTAGCACAGGCTGTTCAGTTTCACCCTGTTACCCCTGTATTGAACCCAGTCTCTTGTGTTTGACTAAAGCATCTTCCAGAAAGGCAACTGTGATGCCGACAAACCCCGGTCATCGGCGGGCGGGACTGAACCAGGGACCTCTGGAGCTTAGTGCATGAGCCTCTACCACATGAGCTAAAAGCCAGCTGGCTGCTAGCTAAGGCTGTAGAGCAGACTCATTAATTTCTCTCTTTCTAAGTGGTCTAGGTGCCACTAGATGGGACACAACACCACACCCAGGAGGTGTGTGGGTTACACAACCAGTCTTGATCAAGAGAGGGAGAATCCGCTCTTTTTGCTGGTAGTTTGTTCCGATGGTTATTCACCCTCACTGTTAGAAACATGTGCCTTATTTCTAACTTGCCTTTGCCTGACTTCAGCTTCCAGGTCTTGGTTCTTGTTGTGCCTTTCTCCGCAAGATGAAAGAGCTCTGCAGTGCCTGGCATTTTCTCCCAGTGAAGGTACTTCTATATTGTGATCATAGAATATCAGGGTTGGAAGGGACCTCAGGAGGTCATCTAGTCCAACGCCCTGCTCAAAGCAGGACCAATCCCCAACTAAATCATCCCAGCCAGAGCTTTGTCAAGCCTGACCTTAAAAACCTCTAAGGAAGGAGATTCCACCACCTCCCTAGGTAACGCATTCCAGTGTTTCACCACCCTCCTAGTGAAAAACTTTTTCCTAATATCCAACCTAAATCTCCCCACCATTACTCCTTGTTCTGTCATCTGCTACCACTGAGAACAGTCTAGAGCCATCCTCTTTGGAACCCCCTTTCAGGTAGTTGAAAGCAGCTATCAAATCCCCCCTCATTCTTCTCTTCCGCAGAATAAACAATCCCAGTTCCCTCAGCCTCTCCTCATAACTCATGTGTTCCAGTCCCCTAATCATTTTTGTTCTCCTCCGCTGGACGTTTTCCAATTTTTCCACATCCTTCTTGTAGTGTGGGGCCCAAAACTGGACACAGTACTCCAGATGAGGCCTCACCAATGTCGACTAGAGGGGAACGATCACGTCCCTCGATCTGCTGGCAATGCCCCTACTTATACATCCCAAAATGCCATTGGCCTTCTTGGCAACAAGGGCACACTGTTGACTCATATCCAGCTTCTCCTCCACTGTAACCCCTAGGTTCTTTTCTGCAGAGCTGCTGCCTAGCCATTCGGTCCCTAGCCTGTAGCGGTGCATGGGATTCTTCCATCCTAAGTGCAGGACTCTGCACTTGTCCTTGTTGAACCTAATCAGATTTCTTTTGGCCCAATCCTCTAATTTGTCTAGGTCCCTCTGTATCCTATCCCTACCCTCCAGTGTATCTACCTCTCCTCCCAGTTTAGTGTCATCTGCAAACTTGCTGAGGGTGCAATCCACATCATCCTCCAGATCATTTATGAAGATATTGAACAAAACCGGCCCCAGGACCAACTCTTGGGGCACTCCACTTGATACCGGCTGCCAACTAGACATGGAGCCATTGATCACTACCCGTTGAGCCCGACAATCTAGCCCACTTTCTATCCACCTTATAGTCCATTCATCCAGCCCATACTTCTTTAATTTGCAGGCAAGAATACTGTGGGAGACTGTGCCAAAAGCTTTGCTAAAGTCAAGAAACAACACATCCACAGAACCAGTTATCTCGTCATAGAAGGCAATTAGATTAGTCAGGCATGACCTTCCCTTGGTGAATCCATGCTGACTGTTCCTGATCACTTTCCTCTCCTCTAAGTGCTTCAGGATTGATTCCTTGAGGACCTGCTCCATGATTTTTCCTGGGACTGGGATGAGGTTGACTGGCCTGTAGTTCCCAGGATCCTCCTCCTTCCCTTTTTTAAAGATGGGCACTACATTAGCCTTTTTCCAGTCATCCGGGACTTCCCCCGATCGCCATGAGTTTTCAAAGATAATGGCCAATAGCTCTGCAATCACATCCGCCAACTCCTTTAGCACTCTCGGATGCAGTGCGTCCAGGCCCCATGGACTTGTGCTCGTCCAGCTTTTCTAAATAGTCCCGAACCACTTCTTTCTCCACAGCGGGCTGGTCACCTCCTCCTCATGCTGTGCTGCCCAGTGCAGTAGTCTGGGAGCTGACCTTGTTCGTGAAGACAGAGGCAAAAAAAGCATTGAGTACATTAGCTTTTTCCACATCCTCTGTCACTAGGTTGCCTCCCTCATTCAGTAAGGGAGCCACACTTTCCTTGACTTTCTTCTTGTTGCTAACATACCTGGAGAAACCCTTCTTGCTACTCTTAACATCTCTTGCTAGCTACAACTCCAGGTGTGATTTGGCCTTCCTGATTTCACTCCTGCATGCCCGAGCAATATTTTTATACTCTTCCCTGGTCATTTGTCCAATCTTCCACTTCTTGTAAGCTTCTTTTTTGTGTTTAAGAGCAGCAAGGATTTCACTGTTAAGCGAAGCTGGTCGCCTGCCATATTTACTATTCTTTCGACACATTGGGATGGTTTGTCCCTGTAACCTCAATAAGGATTCTTTAAAATACAGCCAGCTCTCCTGGACTCCTTTTCCCCCTCATGTTATTCTCCCAGGGGATCTCCTGCCCATCAGTTCCCCGAGGGAGTCAGTCATGTCACTTCTCAATCTTCTTTTTGATTGAGCTCAAAGTCTCTCATTGTAAGGCATTTTCCCCAGCCCTTGAATCCTTTTTCTGTCTGTTTTCTGCACCCTCTCTAATTTTTCCACATCCTTTTTAAAATGTGGACACCAGAACCGGATGCAGTATCCCAGTACTAGCAGTCTCCTCAGTGCTGAATACAGAGGTAAAATCACTTCCCTTGTTTGCACACCCAGGATCACGTCAGCCCTTTTTTGCCACAGCATTGGACTGGGAGCTCGCATTGAGTTATTTGTCCACTAGGACTCTAAAACTTTCCAGATTCATTGCTTTCTGGGACAAGTCTCCTATTCTGTAGGGGTGGTCTGCATTCCTTGTTTCTAGATGTATAACTTGTGGCACCTTAGAGACTAACCAATTTATTTGAGCATAAACTTTCATGAGCTACAGCTCACTCACGAAAGCTCATGCTCAAATAAATTGGTTAGTCTCTAAGGTGCCACAAGTACTCCTTTTCTTTTTGCAAATACAGACTAACACGGCTGTTACTCTGAAACCTGTCATAACTTTGGGTGTGGCTGTATTAAAATGCATTGTGTTGAATGGACCCATTTTACCAAGCAATCCAGATTGCTCTGTATGACTGCCCTATCCTAATCATTATTCCACACTCTGCTAATTATTGTCACCCACAAATTTGATCAGCGGTGATTTTATATTTATGTCCAGATCCCTGAGGAACATGTTAAATAGCACTGGGCCTAGTGCCAATCCCTACAGAACCCCACTAGAAACACTCCCCTTCAGTGAGGATGATTCACCATTGATAACTACTTTTTGAGCTCTGTGAGCTTGTCAGTTCTTAATCCTTTTAATTGGTGTTTTATGGCTATCGTACAGTGCTAAGTTTGTAATCAGAATGTCATGTGGTACTAAGTCAACCCCCTTACAAGTCTATTATATGTAGAATTAACTTTGTCAACCAAACATGTAATCTCATCTGAAAATGACATGGTTTTTTAACAAGACCTATTTTCCATAAAACCATCTTGACTGGAATTAATTATATTCCTACTATTTAATTCTTTATCAACTGACTCCTGTATCAGCTTTCCCAGTATTTTGTCCAGGATTCACATTAGACCACCTGGCCTGTAGTGCCCCAGGTCATCCTACTTGCCTCTTTTGAATATTGGCACAACGTTACCACTCCTCCAGTCTTCTGGAATTTTCCTGGTATTTCAAGATTTATTAAAAATTAACATCAGCGGACCAGACTTAGGCCTCTTGGGTGCAAGTTATTTTAAAATAAGCAGGCCTAAATGTTTATCCCTAGGAGATATTGTTTAACATCCTCTTTTGGTTACTAATGGATTGCAAAGTACTCCATCATCCTTTCCAAATACAGAACATTAACACTTCTGCCTTTTCTGCATCGTTATTAGCCATTTTACCATCTCCATCTAGTAATGAGCCTATACTATTGCTAGAATTTCTTTTGTTCTTAATACACTTCTTATTGTCCTGATTCGTGCCAGCTATGGATGTTTCCCAAATGTTTCTAGCTTCCCTTATCAATTTTCTACACTTCATAACTTCTAATTTGCATTGATTGCTATCTAGTCCCCTTTTTTCCATTTGTTATACTGTATTATATTGGCTGCCTTCTATTCACCTCTGAACCAGGATGGCCTTTTAGCCAAAGTCGTCGTCTTTTTTGATTGTAGAATTGTGGCTTTTTGGCCAACTAATAAACTCTTCTTAAAGAACTCCCAATTTTCCTTCATGCTTTTCTATCTAAATTTTTTATCACAATCAATTTCCTTTAGTCTAGGGAAAATTAGCCCCTTTGAAGCACCAAGCATATATATTACTAGTTGGGACTGTAATGTGCATGACCAGGTGATCTTATTGTTCCCCTCATCCCCACATCTCCGTCTTCCCTCCTATTGTTTTTTATACTTTATGTTTTGTTTCCAATTAGATTGCAAGCTCTTTGGGGCATGGACTCTCTCTGTTTGCATAGCCCTATGCACAGCGTGGCCTTGATCCGGACTCCAGCCTCTGGGTGCTACCACCTTACAAATAATAATAATGAAAAGATGATTTCTCCAATGTAATCTGGAGGTCAACGCTCATTTGACAGAAAGCGTCAGTCTGGCAGAGCTGTGCAAAACTGGTGAGAAATGTCTCTGTGAAATCTTGCAGAAACATTTTTGTGTGATCTTGGGCCTCTTATTTCACTTTTCCACTCATCCAGATCATGCCTAAATATTGCTTTTTCTTTCATAAAATTTAAAAAATGTTTTAAAACCTTTCTGTTCTATCCCACCATCTGAAACTCTCATCTGTGCTCCAATATTCTCCAATCCTGATTACCACAGTCGTCGTTTCCACAACGCCTTATTGGCCCTTTCCAATTCATCCAAAATGCAGCTGCTCTGGGCCGGGAAGCCATGGAGGAAAGCACTGTCTTCGCTTCTGGAAATGATCACGAAATTGCCAGAGTACTCCTCAAATATTAAAATACAGGCCTTGCAAGGAGCTTTTCATAGTGGACAGGCTTTTGGGAGTGCCTATAAATTGTGAAATCCTGGAGCTGCAGGAGTATGAAGTAAATATGCCTCAGCTACTTCTGGAGAATAAGACAAGTGACGACAGCAGCTTGAGAGAGTGATTCTAGATGGGTGGCCAGCTAGTGAAAGGTCAGGAAGTTCCAAGCATTTAATGTAGTTGGAATCAAAGAGATGAAGTTGTTGCATGTGACTGGATTCTGTACAGAGGACACCATGCTAAGCAGATGGATGGTGTCCTCTGGGAAGTGAGTAGTGGGCAGTGAGTAGAGCCTGATGTAGCTTGTCTGGTCTGACCTCCATCTAGATCGTAAATTTACGAGCTGGCTGTATTCGTGGGGGTTTTGGGGTGATCTGTTTTATTTGTGTTTGATCTTCAAAAGGAAAAAAATAGGAAGATTAACAGTGCCCCTGAAATCAGCAGATCCTGATGCTTGTCATGTGTCATGCCATGTATTCTCTTTTGTACTCGATTGGGGCTAGGAAATAAAAATCGGGCTCTTAGCGCAGTCCTGTGTGTCTCGTTTATAACAGGAACAGCGCCCTCCCGGACTGCAGCCTTGAGACATACATTTTAGCTGCACAGCCTATAATAAAGAATAGTTCATATAGGCCCAACTGAAGGGCCATTCCACAAGTGAGAATATTTGTATCTGTTTGCAGTGGGATTCTAGCCATGTCGGTCCCAAGATAGGAGAGGGACAAGGTGCTCACGAAAGCTCATGCTCAAATAAATTGGTTAGTCTCTAAGGTGCCACAAGTACTCCTTTTCTTTTTGCGAATACAGACTAACACGGCTGTTACTCTGAAAGGTGGGTGAGGTGAGATTTCTCCCAGCAGTAGAAGTTGGTCCAATAGAAGGTACTACCTCACCCACCTTTATATCTCTCCAATATTTGCAGCTCTCTTTTATCCGTGTCTCTGTGTAACACAAGTTGATCATCAGCTGGGTGTTTATCAAGTTCAGTTAATTCCACCTTTGGTTAGTTCCCTTCATTACTGCAGAAGACAATCGACTGCGTGTATTTGTTTAGCTTGATTTTACAATTATTTATATACAAATGATATGATTCAGGCTGCCTGGGAGAAACTTATGGTCTGAACTATTCCTGGTACTTCAGGAGACAAGGAAATTGTAGGCATAGACTAATAGGTGTTTCATATATACATAGGTTATATGTACACTGCAGCTTAGCCTAGACAGACCCACACTAGCTCGGTTCGAGCTAGTGGGCTAATAATAGTCAGGGTAGCACAGGATAAATCCATGCAGACCCCCTGGCTATGTACTCAAGTGGTTAGTCCAAGCTGCCACCTGAGCTATCCCTGGCTGCGAAAGCTTCCCCCTGCTGGGAAGTGTGTCCCAGCTGCAGTATACACGCACCCATAGATTTTAACATCAGAAAAACTCATTATGAGCATTAAGCCCGATCTCCTGCATAGTACAGACCATGGAATTTCAATAATTTAGTTCATTTTTCCATGTTGTCTCAAGTGTTCTGCATCAAAATAAGAAACAAAGAAATTAAAATACAAAGCAACACGTGAAGGGGGGCTCAGTAGATCCAGAATGAGCTAAAGAGTTTCTCACCCCTTGGTCAGCAGTTCAGATCCAGCTTAGGCCAGTATGGAAGGGCATTATTACTACGTGACAGTTGCCACAGGTGCTGGAACTAGGGGCGGGTGTTGCAGCACCCCCTGGTTTGAAGGGGTTTACAGTTTGATTCAATGGCTCTCCGCACCCCCACTATAAAAATTGTTCCCGTGCCCCGCTAGTTGCTGTGTGAATCAGTGTTGCTAACTTGTGTGATTCTGCTATAAATCTTGCAATATTTGTTGGTTTTTCTAGAGCTCCAGCTGCTGGAATCAAGAGAATAGGTGCAAATTGCAGTGTTCATTTTAAAAAAAAAAAAAAAAAGTTTCTCACCCTCATGGTTGCAGGGAAAAGCTTGAAAACATGAAGTAGGTGTAACTTAAAGGCTCACAAAACAGAAGACAAATAAAAAGGACTTAATTTTTAGACTCTGCCACAGACTTCCTGTGTGACCTTAGGAAAGTTACTTAGCCTCTCTGTGCCTCAGTTTCCCATCTGTAAAATGCGGATAATAGCACTGCCCTACCTCACCGATGTGTCACGAAGATAAATACATAAAAGATTGTGAAGCGCTTTGAGCTCTCCTGATGAAAAGTGCCATAGAAGAGACTGATTTAAAATATAATAACTATCATGATTTTTTGGCACCTGACTCATGATTTCTGAATGCTTGGGATTGCCCACACTGTTTGATGGTCCCAGCCTAGATCCATTAGGTATGTAGCCACACTGACTAAGTAGATTAAACTAGGAGTGTGATCACCTCTTTCAGGACCTGCCATGGTGGGTCTCAGTGTTATCCGTCATTGTGGCATCTTGTGGTGATCAAAGGATCATAGAATCTCAGGGTTGGAAGGGACCTCAGGAGGTCATCTAGTGATAGGACACAGCAAGAAAAAGAGAATGGGGACAAGAGGCAACATGACTGAGGAAGGAGTTCCTGTCCAAAGGAGGCCTGAGCTGAAGGCGGGCCATGTGGGGGTCCCCGGGCACATCTGCAGTGCTCCGTGCCCCCACTCCTAGAAAGGCTATCACTCAGACAGGGCCCCAGCGAGTATTTCGCACTGATGCACAAACCCAATTGAAGTGGAGGGAATAAAGGGACTTTTTCCACCCAGAAATGTTTCCTGCCTTTTATGCAAGCTTCTGAATGTGGCTGTCCTTCCTTGGGGGCCTGGAGGATGGATGGAGGCGGTAGGAGGAGTGGCTCCTTTTCCCCGCTTCTCCAGAGAAGTGGGAGCTGGCAGGTTGGCTTGGGTGGCAGGGGACAGATCTTCTGCTGGAGGAGTCAGACACAGGTGGACTCTTTTTCCCTCTGACAGGTGCTGCTGCTGCTCCATCTGTCGGCGGGAAGTGCCCCAGAAACACTCCAGCTCCTCCTGCTGCAGGTTCCCAGTGATGGGAAGAGCTGAGTTCCCCTAACCCAGCTCCAAGGAGATTCCCTTCCACGCTTAGCGGGGGAGCTGCTGTCCCCCTGTTACTTGAACCCCTGTTTATCCACTGGGCTGAGCTGGGAGCTGGGCCTAGACCTGTCATCAAAACCAGCACAAGCAGCCGGAGTGGCCACCCTGACAGGGTCTGCAAGCTGGCAAGGCCCTCCCACTGCGGAGGAGTTCCTCCAGCCAGGGCCAAGGCGGGGGAGACTTGTGCCACCACTGCCCGTGCCAGGGCTCAATAGGACGTGCTAATCTCGGAGATCTCTTCCACCAGCTCTTTCAGGGTTCTTGGGTCCAGGCCTGCTGATTTAAAAATGCTTATCCCTAGGAGATGTTCTTTAACATCCTCTTTGGTTACTAACAGACTGGAAGGTACTTCATCATCTTCATGTGATCGAGTACATCACCCTGCTCCTTTCCAAATATGGAACACAAATATTGATCCTTTTCTGTATCACTATTAACAGTGTTACCATCTCCATCACGACAGGTTTCAGAGTAGCAGCCGTGTTAGTCTGTATTCACAAAAAGAAAAGGAGGCCTAGTGGCACCTTAGAGACTAACCAATTTATTTGACAGGTTTCAGAGGAACAGCCGTGTTAGTCTGTATTCGCAAAAAGAAAAGGAGTACTTGTGGCACCTTAGAGACTAACCAATTTATTTGAGCATGAGCTTTGTGAGCTACAGCTCACTTCATCAGATGTTTACCGTGGAAACTGCAGCAGACTTTATATACACACAGAGAATATGAAACAATACCTCCTCCCACCCCACTGTCCTCTGGTAATAGCTTATCTAAAGTGATCAACAGGTGGGCATTTCCACACAAATCCAGGTTTTCTCACCCTCCACCCCCCACACATTCACTCTCCTGCTGGTGCTGCCATCCAAAGTGACAACTCTTTACATAATCAGTCGGGCTATTTCCTCATAGATCAGGTTTTCTCACATCCCCCCCACCCCCATACACACACAAACTCACTCTCCTGCTGGTAATAGCTCATCTAAACTGACCACTCTCCAGTTTAAACCAAGTTAAACCAGAACATCTGGGGGAGGGGGGGTAGGAAAAAACAAGAAGAAACAGGCTACCTTCATAATGACTTGCACTCCCAGTCTCTATTTAAGCCTAAATTAATAGTATCCAATTTGCAAATGAATTCCAATTCAGCAGTTTCTCGCTGGAGTCTGGATTTGAAGTTTTTTTGTTTTAAGATAGCGACCTTCATGTCTGTGATTGCGTGACCAGAGAGTTGAAGTGTTCTCCGACTGGTTTATGAATGTTATGATTCTTGACATCTGATTTGTGTCCATTTATTCTTTTACTAGAGACTGTCCAGTTTGACCAATGTACATGGCAGAGGGCATTGCTGCACATGATGGCATATATCACATTGGTGGATGTGCAGGTGAACGAGCCTCTGATAGTGTGGCTGATGTTATTAGGCCCTGTGATGGTGTCCCCTGAATAGATATGTGGGCACATTGGAAGGGCTTTGTTGCAAGGATAAGTTCCTGGGTTAGTGGTTCTGTTGTGTGGTATGTGGTTGTTGGTGAGTATTTGCTTCAGGTTGCGGGGCTGTCTGTAGGCAAGGACTGTAGGCAAGGACTCTCACAAGTCTTGGGAGACAGGCCAGTCCTTGCCTACAGACAGCCCCGCAACCTGAAGCAAATACTCACCAACAACCACATACCACACAACAGAACCACTAACCCAGGAACTTATCCTTGCAACAAAGCCCGTTGCCAATTGTGCCCACATATCTATTCAGGGGACACCATCACAGGGCCTAATAACATCAGCCACACTATCAGAGGCTGTTCACCTGCACATCCACCAATGTGATATATGCCATCATGTGCCAGCAATGCCCCTCTGCCATGTACATTGGTCAAACTGGACGTCTCTCGTAAAAGAATAAATGGACACAAATCAGATGTCAAGAATCATAACATTCATAAACCAGTCGGAGAACACTTCAATCTCTCTGGTCACCAATCACAGACATGAAGGTCGCTATCTTAAAACAAAAAACTTCAAATCCAGACTCCAGCGAGAAACTGCTGAATTGGAATTCATTTGCAAATTGGATACTATTAATTTAGGCTTAAATAGAGACTGGGAGTGGCTAAGTCATTATGCAAGGTAGCCTGTTTCTTCTTGTTTTTTCCTACCCCCCCCCCCCCAGATGTTCTGGTTTAACTTGGATTTAAACTTGGAGAGTGGTCGTTTAGATGAGCTATTACCAGCAGGAGAGTGAGTTTGTGTGTGTATGGGGGTGGGGGGATGTGAGAAACCTTGATCTATGCAGGAAATAGCCCGACTTGATTATGTAAAGAGTTGTCACTTTGGATGGGCTAGCACCAGCAGGAGAGTGAATTTGTGTGGGGGGTGGAGGGTGAGAAAACCTGGATTTGTGCTGGAAATGGCCACCTGTTGATCACTTTAGATAGCTTTACCAGCAGGACAGTGGGGTGG